AGCCATCAAAAACTACAGTGCCCTTCATTGCTTGATGAAAGGACCTGATGATGTTAAGGAACCGAGGTGGACATCCAGTCTTGGGAAGCATTTTAAAAAGGCCGTCCCTGCTAAACAAATCAAAGGCCTTTGCAAGATCTATGAAGGCCACAAAGAGTGGCTGTCATTGTCCCTTACATTTCTCCTGCAACTGTCTGAGGGAAAATACCATGTCAGTGGTGGATCTATTACACAAGCATTAAGTGTGAGGGAAAGAAAGATCATGTTGCTGCTTAGGATGATACAATGTCAGTGGTGGCTCTATTACACAAACACTAAGTGTGAGGGAAAGAAAGAAAGATCATGTTGCTGCTTAGGATGAAGGGAGTTATAGACAACCCATCAGAAGAGCCTCAGCTTAGACATGGCTAGCATAGCCCCTTCATTAAGACAGGTAAACAAAATTAACCAGCTCTTTAATCTCATTAACCAGTTCACGCAATCCCAAGAGGCAAATGAGGTTTGGGTATCCTAGTGCAAGCCTTTCTCATCCTTGCATCTTGCACTTCAGTGTACTTTGTTTTGTGATTGGATATGGAGGCACAGTGAGATTCAGATTTACAGCCTCTGGCTCTACAGCTTGGTGCTCCAACCCACAGAGCTTTAACCCCAGCTTAATATGCAAGTCTGAACTGCTTGTTTGTGAGAAGACTGGGCAAATAGCAGGGAATGAGGATTCCCTAAATGTCTAGCTTGACTCTCGGTCCCAACCAATTGTCTTCCCCAGCTTAGAGTCCTGTCCACCACCATCAGTACTCCCCCCCCCCGACATAATCAAACAGACACAGTGCCTTTTGCCTCCAACTACCAGGCTAAGTTTATCTTCCCCTGAGCAGCTGGGACGCAGGCTCTTGTTTCATCGGAATTTCAGCTTGGAAACAATGGAAGGAGGCTAAGAGTGTCACATCGCGTTGTTGTTTCTATTCTCTGCTTGGCTGATGCTTTCCAGTCCCTCTCATTCTTGCCGAGGGACTCCAAATAGAAACCTCTCCGTGTATGATGGGACTTTGTTACACAAGGACAATGCAGCTGCAGCAAAGTCTGTTGCACCATTATCCACAACTAAGGACATGACCTTCAGAGGGTGGGTGCCATAAAAGGAGAGTTGGAATGGGGGCATTCCTTTGCCCGCCTCAAATCAGCCCCCACCCACCCATTTGGTGTCAGACCACACATGGTTCCGTTTACCTCAGTTCCCTGGTTCTTCATCATCTTTAACACAGCCTGGTGACCTCCAGGTACGAAGTTGGGGCTCAGCAGGAACAATGGGGAAACTGTCCACACTACTCTTCCCTACCTCAGCATTTATCCCTCGAGATAATTGCTTCATTTAGTTGATATTGGCCAGCCCTACCTTCAGAAGCAAGTTAGAGTCTATAGAAAAATAATACTTCTGCACTTTCACCTCAGTTCTGACTTGTTATGTGCAGCCTGCCCGTGGCTGCACAGGCTAGTTCTTCCCCAAGAGGCACAGTGGGGAATCGAACTCCCCGTCTCTGGCTCTACAGCCAGATACTTATACCACTGAACTATCTAGCCAGCTCCAGATAACTACAATATGTCAGGGTTCAGTAGAAAAGACATCAGGACCCAGTCCAGAGCGAGACCACAGGAACAAGTTAGAAACAACCCCACAGCCCGAGCAAAGACCAGCCAGCTAAGGTTTTGAGTCTAAACAGCAGTCAAGCAGAAGGATGATGCAAATTGTGGTCAGTCCAGGGGGTCAAAGCCAGGAGGAACAGGATCAAGGCAGCAGGGACGCAAGGGGAGGCAAGGAAGGAACAACAGGGTAAGCAGACAGGGCAGGAACAACAAGGCAGGAGCTGGCAAGCAAGGCAGGACCAATACCACAGAATGGCCAGAGACCTTGGTTCCTGAGGCAAGTTCTGGGAGAACCACTCCTTATAAATAAGCCTTCCCTCCAGGCCTCCAGGTGAGCCTCAGGAGTGGCCCAGCAGGTTCAGGGCCTGAGCCTGCAAACACTTGGCCCTCCTGCAGCTCCCAGGGCAGTATGGGCCAAATCCTGACACAATATATCAGACCCACAGATGAGTAAATAAGGATCGGAGAGGGCAGAGTGTCAGTGTACGTATAAAATCTCCCCAAATTCACTGTCTCCCTGATGTTTTGGACTACAAATCCCATAATCCTGCAGCTTGCCCCCCCATAACAACAAATACCATCTGTCTTCACATAACTACTAAATGTATTAGGAGCTCTGTTCTCGTTTGCATCTTTTGGCATTTATTATTCTCAGTTCAATATATGACCTACATTTGAGGCAGTGAGTTGTGAGTCCACAAAGATGTGTTACTATAAATGTATATATACAGTATACTGTATGTAAGGTGGTGTTTTGAGTCTGCTTCCTTTCTTAAACTCCACTTTTACTGAAGGTTTTATTGTGTTTGCCAGTGTTTTATTACTTTGTTCAGGGTTTTACTTTCCAGTATTATATCAATATTGAATAACCTCCTGGATCATGCCGGATGGAAAGTCAGTAGCCTGATGTGATGAGTTACACAGTCGTTTTTAGCTATTACCTATCTGTTGTATGTTTAGCGTGCAGATTTGAGAGTGAGCAGAGGGCTGAATCTTTGGATTCTTTTATTGGTTCCCCTTTCTTCTCTCCTTTTTTTAAAAAATTGAAACCACATGATTGCTCCTCAATAGGTTAAATGGAAAGTATGGGGCATTTAGACCCTGACAGATCTGACCAACGGCTCATCTCATCCATCATCCTGTGTGTCACAAGGACCCATCAAGTGCCTCCAGACGGCCCCAAACTAGGGAAGAAGACAAGACCACTCCTTTGTTGGTGCCTCACAGCAGCTGTTTCTCTGTTCCGAGATACTGCCACTGGGCATGGAGGTTCAGCACATTCAGCAGGAGCATGCGATGCTTGAACCAGAGGATGGTTAGGATGTTTTTGTGGGGACATTTTAAATTACCCTTTTCCGACCTTCACGTTTGGAGGGGATCCATACTGTGACAACATGTTTTGTCCCTCACCTGTGTCTATTTTATTAAAAAAAATATTTGCTCGACCTAATGAGATCCTGATGTGTTGCATTAGAGACCCATTGTCCCTGGTCCTCAGACCCTTTGGCCACATTGATTGATGTTCTTCTTCCATCCATGCCCTCCCCATACATATGTCCATTTAACTGCATATCTAAAAAGAGTTTCCAGGGCCAACACCCAGCTTGTAACAAGAGGACACACCAGCTACACACCAGCTTCTTTCCTTCGTTTGAGACCATGAATATGTTGTTTCAGGAATGCTCAGATACAACCCGGTCCCTTTCTTCTCTCAGCACATCACATCTGCCAATTGAGGGGAGTGGGAGTGGAGAAGACAGGGGTGTCTGGTTACCTCATTATAAGACCTCACCATCTCCCGCCCACCTCCTGCTCCTGGAGTAGTCGGCGGCGCCAGCTCAGGGGAAAGAGAGACCTCTGAATTTTCAGTCTCCAGGTAAGACAAACATGTCCGTATGAGGGAGCAGAAGTGCTTCTCTTGGGGAGGTGGTGACTGGGGTGATCCCCACAGAGGGGGTGCACAAGGGTGAACATTTAGAAAGAAGAGATTTTTAAATGTTTTGTGAAGACCTCCCTCTGCAAGGCTGTAGCCAGGATGGAGCAACTACAGATGCATGTACCAGGGTGCCAATATGTAGCGGGCACCGAGATCTGGAGGTGGATATGTTAATGAATGTTGTTGCTGCTGCTGCTCTGCGCCTTCAATCCAGAAGTGACTTATAGTGATCCTAGGGGGATTTTCAAGTTAAACAAAATGAGTAAGGGGTGGTTTTACCAGTTCCATTCCTCAGTGAGTTTCCATGGTTGAGTGGAGATTCGAACCCGGGCCTACCAAGTCCTAGTCTCCCTCTCTCTCTCTCTATCCCAGTGATTCCCAACCTTTTTTTTTGAGTCACAATCCCTTTTGATAATAGCCACATCCCTGTCATATTGACATAAAAAGGCATTTTTCACGGGGTAAAGTCATCCCTTCTCAGAAATTAAAGGCTTTTTTCTCCACCCAAAGCATAAAAAGGCATTTTTCACGGAGTAAAGTCATCCCTTCTCAGAAATTAACGGCTTTTTTCTCTACCCAAAGGGCCTGTTTCTATAACAGATGCATATGCACTACGCCCTGCTCTGGGCCTGTTTCTCATACAGATGCATATGCACTACGCCCTGCTCTGCTCTAAAAGGTCAACAAAGAAACTATTTAACAAGGGCTACATGTAAGGTGACCTCCGACCTCCCACAAAACACTTTGTGAGCCCCTTGGGGTTCATGACCCCCAGGATGGGAAACACTGCTCTGTCCGTGATATCACACTGAGTCTCCATTAGTGGATATTTGGAAGATAAAATGCAACACCTCTCATATAGAAATACTTTTTTTAAAAGTACAAACTTCCTTTCAGAGGGCTCTTCCTCCTCCTTTGTTCTGGGGACTGGTGTTGCACCCATGCACCAGGGAGGGGTGGATTGGAGATGATAGCAATTGATCCATGCGCTCGTTACAGCTCAGAATGCCAAGTGTGGGTTTATGAATACAGAAGAAATGTCTTTCTATCAAGTCATTTGTGCTGTACGATTCCATACTTTAACCCTCTTTGGCAGCAGCTAATGGGAAGTTCAGGGGTCAAAGAACCCTGCCAACTGGATTTTATTCCTATTTCCTGTAATTTTTTTAAAAATTGCCCCCTGACCAGAGTTCTCTGCGTGACCTACAGATGGTGCATTGGAAATTAGCAAAGATGTCTGATTGCCCCAGCATGAGATCATTGCTTGTTAATTTTGCAACTCAAATTGGTTTTGCTTTGGAACTGGCCATAAGGAAGTAACTACGGGCTTCATTCGAAAATATGATTGCACTCCGTGACTGCAAGATAAATATTGTAATAGAAGGAAATAGCAGATTGGCTCCAGATGCAATAGATGGAGGAATAGTGTCTTTAGAAATGTGTCTCTTGTAGTTGACTGGAGGCAAGCCACAGTCTCTGAGTGAATGCTGCAAGAAGAAGGTAATGATCTACCTTTTATAAGAGAATAGCAATGCTTGCAAAGCTAATCTATGTTAATTGTTTTAGTCATTCAGACTATAATATGGCATATCTGTGCTGTCCTGCTATTAATGGTATCATATAGCTGCAAGGCAACAATCCCTCCCATGGCCTACCTTACAGGACTGTTGTAAGATGTACGGGTGTAATGAATGGAGCAAAGTGCTTGGAACAATCTGAAACGCCACCAAAATGCTAAGTATTGTTTTTCAGACGTCTTTCCCTTCTTTTCTGGTTCCTTGTTCTAGGCCAGAATTTCCAAACCTGGTTCTTTTCCAAAGATGCTGAATCATGACTCCCATCACTGCTAGTCAACACAGCTACTGGCTGCTCTGTTGGGATGATAGAAAATATGGTCCAACATGGTGAAGGGAATCTGGTTGGGGACGACTATTTTAGGCTGAGCCTGCAATTTAAAAAAAGCATACAAAGTTGCCTTACAAAGAGTCACACCATCCAGTCTCATACTGGCAACACTAACTGGCAGCTGCTTGCGAGGATTCCAGGGTGTGCTCTTTTTCCTAACCCTACCTGGAGATCTCTGGAATTTCCCAGTGGTCTCCCTTCCAAGTACTAACCAGCCCTGACCCTGCTTAGCTTCCAAAACCAGATGCATTTACTATGTTCAGGTTGGGTTCTGTCCGCAATTTGCAAGAAGCAAGTTCCATAAGATTTAGTGGGACTAGTAGTTGACTAGATAGCTCAGTGTGTTATGTATCCAGCTTCAGAGCCAGAGGTTGGGAGTTTGATTCCTCACTATACCTTTCCGGAGGACAACCAGCCTGTGTAGCCTTGAGCAAGCCACATAGTCCCAAGGTGCTCCCAGAAGAAGGGAATAGTAAACCACTTCTGAGGGCTCTGTACCTAGACAACCTTGGAAAGGGTCACCGTAAGTCATAATTGATTTAACGGCACGAGATTACTAAATTACCGTATTAATTCTAGCAGTAAAAAAAGTTTGGGATTGCACTGCCATTGAATTAACCTAAGCCTGGTTGGTTTCAGAAAGGCCATTTGGCTCTTTCAAGGGTTTGACCTTCATAACTCCTAAGTAAAGTAGTGAAGGTCATGGATAAGAATCCTGCAGTTTGGTCTATCATATTAAAGCAGGATGTATGAACAAGATACTGTATCTTGCTGAACATTTCCCATATCTTGCTAACAAGGAAGTTGGCAAAAGAAATAGCAGTGTATTCTTCTAGACAGGAGTATGATTCAACAAAATACTCTGTTTCCTCGAAAATAAGACCTAACCTGAAAATAAGCCCTAGTATGATTTTTTTAGGATGCTCGTAATATAAACCCTACCCCCAAAATAAGCCCTAGTTAAGTGAAACCCCACCCTTGTGCAGCAACCAGAAGATGACATGAATATAAAATACAACATATATAATATAAAATACAACAACCCCTGAAAATAAGCCCTGATGTGTTTTTGTAGCAAAAATTAAAATAAGGCCCCGTCTTATTTTCGGGGAAACACAGTAATAAAGCAATTCAGGGATCTTTGCCCAAGAAAGATGTGCTAACTTAGATTAGCTTCCCATATATTAGGAAAGAAAGAAAAAAAAACTTCATTGAAAATTATATCTGCACTTCTAAAAATGTGATATTTTGTTCTTTTTAAAGTTTCCATTAGGTAAATAAGGTTGACTGGCATGGCAGTGAGTCCCATTAAGAGATGTACTGGAGATATATGGGAAGCGATGGTCTAAGATTGGCACCAGATTGCAAAAGATGCCACCCTAAACTAGTCAAAGTTATTTAAAGAAATAGTATGGAGTCAACATAAATGAGACACTGAGAAACAATAGGAGGAGACTTCGAAAATATCTGTGACCTTTTACGACAGCTGCTCAGAAATGCGAACACAAAATGCTCTCTCTTCATAACCTTGGCTGTGTTAAACCAAACCCCAAAGGACATGGGGTGGATGGAAAATTCATGCTCCTACATGCTCCTTTGTAGAGACCCTAGCATCATAGGCTTCTATCAAAAGCCAACAACCTGGAATGGAGAATGGAAGTCTAACTTAGTGGCGGACTCCACCACTGCTTGAATTTTATAGGGAACGTGTTGGGCAGGGGTCTAAATAAACTTGATAGGCATACAATCACTTGTTTCCAAGTTTGATCATATCATATCCCCAGCCACCTCATGGCTGTCTTAAAAACAAGGCTTCCCATTGCCCCCTTCTCTCCCAATATCATGAGGCCTGGAAAGAAAGGTTCCATCATGGGAAGAAGCTGCTACAATCCTTCTGTCCTGTGACACAAAACCTTCTCCCCTCCCCTCCACCTCATTATCACCTTAACTAACTATGTGGCCTAGGACAAGAAACAGAGGAAATTGGCTTATGTATCCATTCAGATCACCAGGGCATTTAGCTCAGTTGTATTGGCCCTTGCCAATAGTAGGTTAACACAGTTGAATGCGAAAATCTTTTTCAACCATACCTTGAGGTATGCTCTGCCGTTAAGCTGGGGCCCCTCCCTAAGACAAGGCATCATCAGTTGAGCTACATGACATTTCACCTCCATGATTTAGTGAAACCATATAAAATAAAAATTATTGATAAAGCACAAAAAGAGGTAAAATAGTCCCTCACTAAGTTACCACTGTAATGTTGTGTCATTGTTCTACCTTTGTTATTGGGGAAAGAGTTGCAAAAAGAGGTTTGCAGATTTGTGTTTTTGGACTACAACTCCCAGAGTCCCCTATGCTGCCTGGGAGTTGCGGCTCCAAAAGGTAACTAGAAATTACAAGCATGAGATTTATCCAATCCTTTCTTTTCAAAGCCACTAGGGAAAGAGTTGCAAAAAAAGGTTTGCAGATTTGTGTTTTTGGACTAAAACTCCCAGAGTCCCCTATGCTGCCTGGGGAATCCTGGGAGTTGCGTCTCCAAAAGGTAACTAGAAATTACAAGCATTCCCCTATGCTGCCTGGGAGTTGCGGCTCCAAAAGGTAACTAGAAATTACAAGCATGAGATTTATCCAATCCTTTCTTTTCAAAGCCACTTAATAATCATTATATCTTGTACCGGCTTATACTGTACTTGTAAAACAGAAGCAGTTGTTGAGGGCCATTATTGTTTTACATTAACTCTTATCTCCTAAAAATTACGAACTGTGAAGTTTTAAGCACTTCCTTGGGATAAACATTAACAAATTTTGTAAAACTTCCTTAAACAAGGACTTGGGATACAAGAGTTACGTATGATTAGGTTGTGTCCTTGTGCCGTGGAATAAACTGATTTTCCCCCAAGAACTTCAATGTCTTTTTCTTAGGTAATCACAGCAAATTCAGATGGTATCACTATTTGCAACTTTCAAACACTATTCACTACTTAGGGTGGCCATGTTAACCCCCTTAAAATAGAGGACATCCAGCAGTAACAGTGCTAAACAGGAACTGATTTGCAGAAAAATATTGCATATGCTAACTTATATGGACAGATGCATTAAGCCTCCCCCATCATGTGTAAAAAGAATAACAATGCTCCACATTAGAGTAGAAGATGATGTGCCTACAAGATTCTGCTGTTCAAGTGCTGCAAAATCAGGATGCTCATCTTGAAATTCCCCGATTTCTTAATTAGTAACAATCATGTGCCATCAAGTGACTTCCAACTTAGGGTGACCTTACTGGGGTTTCCCGTGAGAAAAGAATACTCAAAAGTTACTATTCCTTTCTTCTGGTGGTACTCTGGGACTGTGTGGCTTGCCCAAGGCTACACAGACTAGTTTTTCTCCTGGAAGTTACACTGGAGTATTGAACTCCCACCCTGGAACCAGATACTGTATGTCAACTCACAAATCACTGAGCTACTCAAACACCTGAACATCCTTCCTGTAGTTCTTTAACTCATATCTGGTTAGAATAGTCTTTCAAACAGCGAACAACGTCAGAAGGAAAACTGCTTTCTAGTGGCCCTTCAAATGGGTGAGTGGCGACTTTATGCAATCCAGCTAGTTAAAAAGAGTGGTACAAGATGGGATTTTCATTTCAGTGCATGTATGTGTAAGGCATTTATAATTGAACACTGCAAGGTATCTGTAATGTTTTGTTTAGCACAGTGATGCAGTGCGACAAATGCACACAGTAGCTGAAATCCTGTTGCTTAGTGTAGTAAGTTGCACCAAGGAAGGCACATTGAGTTGGTGGGGATTTGGTGAGTCAATGCCTTTGTAAGTTCTCTTGATTCAAATGGGCCTACTCTACTTGCAACTTACTATAGCATAGTTGGTCATAACTAGAGTAGGTCCATTAGAATCAAGTTAACTTACAGAGGAGTTGACTTACCAGATGCCCATGGATTCAATAGGCTTACTCTGTTGTGATTTACTATGCTGAGCAACAGGATTTCAGCCAGTATATAGTTGCCATTTCAACTGGAAAATCACTACCATCTTGCTGGTCACTGCTGACTAAAAACAACGGCCAAACTAACGAAGGTAGCAACCTTTGTACATCCCCAGGAGTAATCAGTCCAAACCCTCTGAAAATAGATTATACCCATAATACCAGATTCTTCCTGTTCCACATCCTGGTTGAGCTGTGTGAACTTCTGGAAGTTCCATGGCGTACCAGCTTGGCAATGACTCTCCTTATCAATTTTTTGACTATTTGGAGTGTGATGATGGCATTTGTATGAGGTCTGCACACAACATGTCTGTGTGATTTAGCGTAGTATATGGCACAAGATTACTTTATCTCCTTCCTGCAAGATTTGCTTTGGACAGAAGCTGCAAAAAACAAACATTTAAATATTGTATCACAGACTTTTGTACATAACGATTTGACCTCTTTATATCAAAACTGTTGGTGGTGGACTATTTAATCATATTGTAAACAACCTCATTGTCGGCAAAGCAGTGAGACAGCTTACTTATAAAGTAAATAGCCAACGTGGTGTAGCAGTTAGGAGCAAACCTGCCTAGGTACAAATCTCACATGGCCGTGAAAGTTTGCGGCTTACTTTGGGCCACTTACATGATCTCAGCCTAACAGGGTTGTTGTGTGATATAAAAAATTGCTTGGTTCTTTGTTGCATTGATATCTCTTTCAATGAGCTCAAGGTAGCTTACAAGGCTCACCTTCCACCCTCTTTTATATCCACACCAACCTAGTGAGGTTGGCCAGGCTGAAACATTCTGATTGGTTCAAGATCATCCCAAGAGGTGCATGGCCAAGTGGGGATTTGAATCCACATCTCCTGAGCTGTTGCCCAAGGTGCTCACTGGCTCTCTAATGGGTGGGAGTACATCATTAGTCACTAGCATTTCTACACAACTGTTCAAGGTCCAGGAAACCTATTCCTCTTATCATGTAGCCATCCCCTGGATGAAACATTCTGATTGGTTCAAGATCATCCCAAGAGGTGCATGGCCAAGTGGGGATTTGAATCCACATCTCCTGAGCTGTTGCCCAAGGTGCTCACTGGCTCTCTAATGGGTGGGAGTACATCATTAGTCACTAGCATTTCTACACAACTGTTCAAGGTCCAGGAAACCTATTCCTCTTATCATGTAGCCATCCCAGTGGGAAAGGGAAAAAGGACCCTTTACATTGTGCTGAGCCCCAGGGAGAAAGGGCAGGATACACATTTAGTAAATCATCATCATCATCATCATCATCTATTTTGTAAATCATCATTATCATCATGTACCATCAAGTTAATTCTGCCTTCTGGTGACCCTTATTTTTCAGTGTTTTCCTGGGAGAGAATTCTCAGAAGTGGTTTCCCATCTCCTTCTTCTGGGGGCATCCTGGGATTGTGCAGCTTGCCCAAGGCTACACAGGCTGGCTGTTCTCGCAGAAGTCACAGTGGGGAACTGAACTTTCAGCCTCTGGCACTGCAGCCAGATACCTAAACCACTGAAATATCCAGCCAACTTTAGTAAATAAAGACACGCATGAATTTATTTAAGCCTCATGTGTGCCAACGTCCCATAGTAAAAGAAAAGGCTTGATAATCCACACCGGATTCCTTATCGCAAAGCGTTGCATTATATTTGAACTTCCAAAAGATCAAGTTCTTAAACTCTGTTCCAGGATGCCCAGATGGGAGTCTCTGCTGCCTACATGGGGAAAGGACTTGTGTTGCCATCCACACTGGTTTTTCAGTGATGAGAGTTAAAAATAGATTATGATGGGAGGCAGGGAACTATTATCCCCTCTAACCCTGCTCCTACGTACCATGCCGCCTGCTTTTGATCACAATCCTTCTTTGTCTGCCCGCTGCCCACACTTGTGATTCATACCCTAAAAGGGAAAGGACTTCCACATGGGATTAGGACGGACTCTCCAGGGGATTGGGGAGGCAATCTGGAATGGGTTAAGCGCGCCATCTGAGTCAAGCGTGCCATCATCTCCTGTTTAATTTTTGGCCTAATGTGGGATTAGGACGGACTCTCCAGGGAATTGGGGTTAAGCGCGCCATCTGAGTCAAGCGTCCCATCATCTCCTGTTTAATTTTTGGCCTAACTGGATGCCTCTGAAATGTGTTTCTTAAAACAAAACAAAAAAAAGACAAGCACACCACATTTAATCCACTAAAAGATAGCTATATTTAAGGGGTTTCTTTAAAAATGACAAGGTTCTGTAGACATCTGTTGTTGTGGAACAAAATTCCAGAAATCACAATGTGCACTGTCAACAAATCCTGTTGTTTCTTTTCTGTGTTCCAGGTGAAGCGTCAATACCTGTCACCATGTCTGAGGAGGAAGTTGAGTATGAGGAGTAAGTAAAGTAACTGTGGGCTGCACGGTGGACACAGATGGGCAATCATACATTCTTGAGGGTACTGTGGGGATTCAAGCAAACTCAAATTTTAAATCTTTCGTCTGTGATTTATTGGTGGTACTCTTAGTTCTAGGTATTGTTGGATGCGTGGCTAGGATAGCACAATATATTAAGATAGCTCATATTATTATTATTATTGTTATTAATGATAATAGTAATTGTAGAACTGCAAAGCTGGAATGTACCTCTAGGATTATCAAATTCAGCCCCTGTCAAGAAGGCCCAGTGGGGTCAGACTCCCTTCTGAGCTATACAGAAGCTTTCTGCTTTGCTTAGCTACAGTACTTAAGGTCTGATTGCCTCCCTCAAGGTAGGTATTGAAAGCCACATGTTAGAAAGTGTTCATATCTGAAATAGCAGCTTTGAATTTTGGAAGTTGCCTGTCTTCTGATTTAATATGAGGTGGATGAGAACCTGACTCTATCTAGAATCAAACTATGAATTGCTGAGATATACTGTATATGTGAAATTGGACTCCTTTCCAAAATTCAGAGCTGCTATTTCAAATATGAACACTTTTTAACATGTGGATTTCAATACCTGCCTTGAGGGTATTTGATCTCCAAAATATTTTTGAGGAAAAGAAGAAATGCAAAATTTTTAAATTAAATTAAATTTTGGCAACTGGTAGTTTAGATTCAAAAACAGAGTTACATGAAATGTTGTGGCTTTAGATTTTTAACAAGCTTCATTGAGCCACTGCCCTTTCTTTGAAGTGACATTTAATTGTACTTCATATCTTAATTGCAATGAGCTACTAGGGTTTGTTTTTAGTGTAGATGAATGGGAAAGAAAAAAATCATTTCTCAAAGTGGCTGCCTTTTTGAATTGCCTATAATTCAAAAAGCACCTCACAACAGGGCTTTCTATGCAGAGATTCGAAGTAATTCATTACTTATAATTGGTCTAATCCAATTGTTCGTCTAGACTGGATTAGGCCCCTGAATTAATGAGAATATAGTGAGTCAACATATGTGTGTGTCACACAGTAAATGTGTTCACTCCAATACTGGATTCATGCTATTAATTATTTTTCCCAGTAACACCATTACAACTTAATGGTTAAGTTCACTCCTTGTGCAACATAATTCTAACTTCTAGTTACTTTTATAGTTAGTAGGCTTCCTAACTGATGGAGGAATATCCTAGTGTTCAAGTACAGGCTGATACTGTTCTTTATACTGGTGCCTCATGATCTTTTATGGGTGTTGAGACAAGAATGAAGTGAATAGGAGGAGAGTGTGTCTTGTGCCACAGAGGTTTCCCATGTTTCTGTTAAAGAAGCAAGTAAAAGTAACTAAGTTGCTTTCAAGAAGGTGCTCAGCTACCTATTAAAACTGGCCCAAATCTTGTTCTTTAACGCTACTGTTATCCTGCATGAGAACAATGGCAGCATTTGAACGGACATGACTGCTGATAATTAAAGACTTCTTGCTTTGATTCTGGCACTCACCCAGCTCACCTGAAATCAGTATTATTGTGCGACTGTGAGTTGAGAGAGCCATGGGGCTGAAACAGGAATTATTTAATTCCTGGAAATATGCTGCTGCCTTGCAACATAAGCACTTTTTTCCAAATGCATACTTCATGGCATGGGACATTAGCCTATAATGGCTAACAGGAAAAGAGGAAGACCTTCCTAATTTCGAAGAAAGCCATGGCCAATAATCTGGATTCAAATCTATTTCCAAAATAATTTTATATTGCAGTCCTGTCTGCAGAACTGGATCGATACATAACTCATATGCTCATTTCTTTTTCTCTTTCTCTCCCTTTGCCCATCCATTTCCCACCCATCAGAGAGCAGCAGGAAGGTAAGGGATATCTCAACCGTCCATTATTACTCACTATTTCTTTCAGGAGTTCTTTCCTATCCTCTCTGATTAAGCACTATAGCCTTTCACAAGCGAGTGCACTTGAGATCTTATAACCTCCACCATCCCTCCCACAATGGCAATTTTCATGATGGATATATAGTAATACAACACATTGGAGTCCAGCTTGAAGAAGGCTGGTGCATATGTATTTCTGACATTTGGTATAGATAGATTGTTTGTTTTTTCTGGTTGGCTTTCCCAAAGAATGGCAAATGCCATTGTAATTAGTTAGATAAATGCATGTGTACATCACAGATTTCCCTCATTCTCCATTAAGCAACTCAGACCCTGATCTGGCCCCTCCTCTAATTTGCTTCACCTTTTTTCTCTTGTTCTTTTCTCTTGTTCTTTTTACCTTCACACTTAACATTAATTCATTCTTTTTTTTTTTTAAAAAAAGGACAAATCCTGTACCACCATTTTTGTACTTAAGATGACTTGTTATTTTTTTCTTCTTCTGCGGTTTTTAGATTTACAGACGTTGGAGATCTACAGCATGAAGAGGCAGTGCATGTCCTTTCTTGAATCTCCCAAACTCTCCATCATTTCTATTTCTATTTTCAATTTTCTATTGCTCTAGCATCAATTTCATCTGTACATAGAAAAAAGTCCTGTTTCAAAAAGGCAGGCCAATATTGGCAACATCTCCTAGTCTGATGTCTTCTGAAGACCCTTCTTCAATCTTCAGTCATTGGCAACCAATAAACAACCAGTATCTGTTGAGCCACCCATCTCCTACTAAATCAAGAACTTAACTTTGTCTCACTCTGTTTTTTCCTTTCTCTCTCTCTTTTTTAAAGAAGAAGAACATGGAGAAGAAGAAGGTGAGATGCCACGTGTCTATTCCACTCCTCTAAACCCCCCCCCCATTTTCTAAAGTTTCATCACAAACAGAATTTTAGTATTAAGCAAGCCAAGATGGGAAAGCAAGCAGAATCCCCATGAGAACCTAGAAGCGGGGAATGTTACTTTTGTGGACTACACAAAGTCATGGCAGCTTGCATGGTGGCTAATATCACCATTTCTGGTTCATTGGTGGTTTGCATGGTGGAGAACCAAGAATATGCTTATCCCTACGTCTCCCATGTTTTCCTTCTCCCTAAAGGGAGTGAGGCATTCCCAGCAAGATTTAGAGGAGTAGAAACAAAAGCAGTGGGGCTCTGGGAGAGAAGTGAGGTAGTATGAACTGGAATAGGATAGATGTGGTTTCTCTCTCTCTGTACCTTGGTTTTAACCAACGTTTTTCTTCCTTCTCATTTTCATCTTAGGAAGGATCACAGGAACTCAGACTTGCTTTTTCCCATAGGTTTATTTTTACTTCTTCCCACATTGAGTAATACTTTTTTTTTAAAAAAATTCTCTGTCATGCAGGCATGCAATTCCTTGATAACCAAAGTTGTGATGGCTGATCAGCTCCAGTCCCTCCTGGAGGAAACTGATGCCCTTGATCCATTCCAGTTGGGCTTCAGGCCATGGCATGGTACGGAAACAGCATTGGTTGCCTTGCAGGATGACCTCCTGAGGGAGGCCGGCAGGGGCAATATGCCCTTGTTGGTCCTTCTTGATAGCTCAGCGGCCTTTGATGGTATCCTCCTGGGGTGGCTCCAAGTTGGGAATTGGTGGTCTCGCATTGGCGTGGCTCCATTCCTTCTTGGTGGACATCCCCAAAGAGTGCAGCTTGGTGAGATGACTTCCACCCTATGGATCCTCAATTGCAGGGTTCCGCAGGGGTCGGTCATCTCGCCAATGCTATTTAATATCTATATGAGGCTGTTGGGTGAGGTCATCCGGAGCTGTGCGGCTTGGTATCATCAGTACGCTGACGACACCCAGCTCTGCCTCTCCTTTTCTCCAACTGCAGTGGATGCTGTTCCATCCCTTGGACGCTGTTTGGGGACCATTCTGGAGTGGATGAGGGCATTTGGGCACCATTCTGGGGTGGATGAGGGCAAATGGACTGAGGCTGAATCCAGAAAAGACAGAAATCTTGTGCGTAGTTGGCCCCGGCATTAGTGGGTTGGGAAACTCCTTCTCCTTTGGGACGTGGTTGGCCCTGGCATCAGTGGATTGGAAACTCCTTCTCCTTTGGGAGAGTGACTCTTCCCATGAAGAGGGAGGTTCGCAGCTTGGGCGTCTGCCTGGACCCGGATCTCACCATGGAAACCCAGGTGGGATCTGTGATCTGGGTAGCCCATTTCCGTCTCCAGAGGATTGCTGAGCTAGACGTGGGGGCGCTCACAATGCTGATTCATGCCCTCATAATCTCAAGAATAGACTACTGCAGTGCTCTCTATGTGGGGCTACCCTTCAGGTTGATGCAGAGACTTCAACTGGTCCAGAATTCAGCGGCCAAATTAATAACTGGGGTGAAGAAATTTCAGCACATTTCCCCCACTCTGGCTGCCCTTCATTCGCTACCAGTTTGTTTCTGCATTGACTTCAAGGTTATGATGATAACATTTAAAGTCCTAAATGGTTTAGGACCTAGATATCTATCAGAACGCCTGCTCCCATCCAGATCTGTCTGTATTACCCGTTACTCACAGGCAGGGCGGTTGAGGGCCTTGACCCTGAAGGAGGCCCGGAGGTAAAGAACTAGAAACTGGGCCTTCTCGGTGGTTGTCCCCTAACTATGAAACAACCTGCCGACTGAGATTCGTCTGGCCCCCTTGCTGGACGGATTCAAAAGAGCACTGAAGACCTGGCTCTTCTGCCAGGCTTTCCCAGGATCTTGCCCTCCCTTTTTACCTTTCTTTTTGCTATCCTCTGCATCACCCTTTCCACCACCTTACTGCCATCTGTTTTAATTTCTGGTTTGTTATGTATTAACTTATTTTTATTATGGCTTTTCCGCTTCTTATATTGTTATTAACCACCCAGAGTAATCTGGTTGCCAGATGGTGCGGTTTATAAATTCAAATAATAAATAAATAATAAAGTCTCCCCCAACTTGAGTCCCCTTATCAACAGAAAGGAAGCATATATATAAAACAAACAAACAAATAAACTTTATGCTTCAGGCTACAGCTCCTACCCTCTGCAATGTTTTTCTGGGGATACTGGAATATTTGCCCAACATACATAAAGGGTCACTGGATTGGGAAAAGTTTCTGTGACTGTATTACTTCAAGAAGCTTAACGTTTATGATCTCTGTTTCCTCTCAGGGATTTGAAGCTGATAACATAACTTCATCTCCCTTTCTTTCTTTCTTTCTTTCTTTCTTTCTTTCTTTCTTTCTTTCTTTCTTTCTTTCTTTCTTTCTTTCTTAGGCTCCAGAGCTTGATAACAACAGCCAATTTTGCCATTAAAACCAACAATTTTCTCTTCTTGTACTCATGCAAAACCTCAGAGCTTCCAAATTCCTTTCTAGCCAAGTCCTAAAATGTTCTAGTTATATAATTGAATCCCACCCCCAAAAGTAACTATTCCTCTTTTGTACTAATTCTTCATCATGCAAATCATTTTAAATTAGAGCAGAGTCCAAGTCAAAATGTAGGACTGAATTCGATAACACATTATTGAGACCTCTGAAAATGGTACCCTTTAAGGCAGTGGTTCCCAACCTTGGGCTCCCAGATATTCTTCGAGAAACTCCCAGAAGCCTTTGCCACTAGTTGTTCTGGCCAGGATTTCTGGGAGTTGTAGTCCAAGAACATCTGGGGACCCAAGGTTAGGTACTACTGCTTTAGGAATTTGTTTCTGCAGGGAGATGGAATAAACAGGGCAGGAAGTATATTGAGGTTTCAGATAAAAGCAAAAATTATGGCTCCTGTTGCTGGTGTCACTATGCTTCTGCTTTACTTAGCCCTCAGCCGGAGTTTCGGATTTAGCTATGAGCTCCACAGTTCTAACAGGACACCAAAATACTGGAACATGTCCAGAGGAGGGTGGCAAAGCTGATAAACATTCTGAAAATTAAAACCTCTGTAGGATAATTGAGTGAGTCGGATATGTTTACCCCAGAGAAGGAAACACTGAGAAGTGATATGATAGCCATCCTCCAATATTTGAAGGGTTGTGTTACATGGAAGATGGGACTTGTTTTCTGCTACTCCAGAGTTCCAGCTGGAAGATGGGATTTGAACTAAAGGGAGGGGAGAACTTTCTGTTAAGAGCTGTTTGACAGTAGAAAAGATTACCTCTGACAGAGTTGGATTTGCTTTTGCTGGCTTCTTTAAAACAACGATTAGATAGCCATTTCTCGTTGCTGCTTTAGCTGTGGATTTCGTGCATTAGAAGAGGATGGAACTAGATTAACCTTGGGGTCTCTTCTAATTCTATGGATCTGTGTGTTCTCAATCTGAATGGAAAGCAGAAGAGAGAAGTGGACCAAACCATTTCCTTTCTTCACAGTGACAGCAACTTGCCTTCAATGATATCACCACACAAGGAAATTTAATTAAATACATGGCCATATCATCTTCATTATGTAACCCTTCATTGGGTGGGGAACTCAGAAAAGGAGCCCCTAATCTAAGAAAGGGAAAAAAAAAAAGCTGACGAAACAGCAACGCAGGGCGAAACCATAGCCTTATTCTCTCAGAAAAATATAGAATATGTGTCCTTTGGAAGGGGGAAGGACTATGCAGAAGCAAATAATATGGGCCTCGGTCCAATTGTTAGTCTCAAACCGAGTAGACCCATTGGATCAGTGCGAACTTGGAAAAATCAAACTTAGTTCCATTGATTCAGTGAATGTGTCCTATTTAGTACATATAAATTGATTTGCTTTCTATAGCTTTATCATAACAAGAGCTGCACTTTATGGTGTAATTCAGTGGATTTCAGACTTGTCCTAGCCAATCTTTTGATTCCTCCCTACGAGTGAAGGGCAACAAGCCTGCCACTGCAAGTTTTTTTCCCCTGATAACACATAGCTACCGTACAGGGTTTTTTTTTTGGTCATCCAGTTAAGCTTTGAGGCCTGTTTCTAGATAAAGATTTCTGAATCTGGAATAGCCCTGCCTCAAACACAGAAGTGGATTAGAAATGGGAGTCCAGATGACATTGTTGTTTTCCATGTGTAACCCTACTATGTTTTCTCACTGTTCTGTTTTTTTTCTTACAACAATAACAAGAACTCCTTTTTTAAAAATAGAGGAAAACATGCAATAACTGTGCAGTGTCTGGTCCCTCATTCTTGGCCTGACCTGGCTTGCATGTGAACTCTGTGCCCTGAAGCATGTACTCTATTCATTAGGTCCCTCATTCAGCAGAGGTACGGAAGTTTCGTTTATGACAGAAAAGTTTGGGGGGGGAGCGGAACACAACTTCTGTTATTCAAAATCTATTGCAGGGAAGCAAGTTTGATTCTTCCATCTTACAGAAGGGCAAGGCTCCACTGTGTTGTTACAAAACAGACTTTAAGTCAACCTCTGTGTTTTCAAGTATACAATTCAAGTTGTTGGTGTATTAGACTGAAATAAGTGGGGTTGGGCCGGTACTGACTGCTCCCAATGCAGAGGCTGATGTGATGACTGGATTACCTTTCCTTGGCTACTGAGTAGTGTTTTTAATGACCTTGTCGCTTTTATCCTCATCAGGTAGATCAGCCTGTCCCCGGCTAGCACCAACCAGTGTCTTGTGCTAGAACTCCCTTGATCCAAAGCCATGGGCAATGCCCATGCTAGCTGTGGAAAATGGGGTTTGTAGTGCTACACACCTGAAAGTTGTCAGGTTGTGGGATGCTGCTGTAGGTGGATCGCCTTAACTGCCTTTTCCTTTCTCTCCTGGATTTGCTCCCTATCTGACAATTTCCGTCTCTCTTCCTGCCCATCCTCCCCTCTCACTCCCTGTCTGTTCCCTGTTCCCTGATCTTGTCATGTGTGTTGCTTGCAGTGGCTGAAGAACCTGAGTCAGCTCCTGAGCCAGGTATATTTCTCCTTCACTCCACTCTTCCCCCGGGAGGGAGAGGGGGAAACATCCGAGTAGGAAGACAAGCATAAGGGAGGCGCCATACTTTCTCTGCTCCTGTGAAGCCTGGCACACTGAAACAAACTGAGCTATAGTTTCAGGTGGCTGGTGGACAGGCTGATAAATAAATCCACAAGTCAACATGGCCTGGTCTGTACATGCAATGGTTATACAACCATAGCATGGAAGATGCCCTTTTAAAAAGTCTTCTCCTTATTTTAAAATCTCCATATGTTTCTTTTATTAATTTTTAAAGATGTTCATTTTTAAATTTGAAAATGCTGTGGTTTTAATGATAGTTAAGGAGTTGCTGCTTCAAATCAGAAACAAATTGCAACTCTAACAATGCAGTCCTATTTCTTCTTAGGCATCCTTCAGTCTCGAGAGACTATGGTAACGTGCTCTGCATGAGTGTCCTTTCCAGAGCACGAAGCCTGGGTAAAATAATATGGAGGATAGGCTGTTACCCAAGCAGAAAATTACACGTCTGCTAAAAAACATACTCTATTAAATGCAGTGGGACATGCTCCCAAGCAAGTGTATAAAGCTCCTATTTATATTCCAAGTAATGTAGTATAAAAAGAGTAACATAGACAAGAGTGCTTCTAAGAATGAGCATAGTGTGTGTTTCCTAGACTACTGAATGAGCAACTCCTTCAAAAATCTGGCAGCTGGCACCAAAATATATGTCATAGGCAGCCTGTCATTAGAAGAGGTAATTTCTTAAACAATGGAAACATTCGGTTTTCATAGCAGGAGCTTTTCACACCTCCCATAGCTGGCATACTGGCTGGCTTTGTTTTGTGATTGGTCATCAGGAAGTGAGCAGAGTTTTCATTTCCAGGTATCACTGCTCAAAAGTATGCTTGAATCAGATCTTTGGAACACTGATGGATTTCAGGATTGAATGAAAGGCTATTTATAATATATGATAGATGGCCTGAAGGAGAAAAGGCTTTGCTGTTATAAAATGCAGCTTCCCGATGGTAGATCTTTTTAGAAAGTGACCACTGGATGGAGAATGGACAAGTGGGCTTATGAAAATAGGTGGATGAGCAAGTCAAAGATAGCAGAGATGTGACAACAAGAATATTTGGCATAATATGCTTACTTGCGATCTCCTGCTTTCCTCATGAGTCTAGTCTAAAGTCAGCTGACCTTGTAGCCTTGTTTTCTTTACCTTCACGTTAACAGCTCTCCAGGGGCTGCTACAGTATAGTGAATAAATTGGATTAGATTAACCTTGGGGTCCACTCCAAAAATTCTGTTATTTATCCATGATTTCTTCTCACATATCCAGATGTCCTAAAAAGAGGAGTGCACAGGTTCCTAACAGAAAAGGCCTTTTAGATGTATTTTATATAGATATATCTATGGGCCCCTCATGCTGTTTGTGTGCTACACATGTTCTGGATACATGCAAGTAGTGTACAGTAGTGTGTTCTCTCTATGTATCTATGCTAAGAACATGTATACACCTCTCATGTCTATAAGGAAAGCAACATATCTAAGCCCAGAGAGGGATCATAGATATTTTCTAGTACCTATAGACATGCCTGTGACCCAAAACTGTGTCAGATCCCGGGAAGTGTCTTTCGCTTGATGTCTGTCTGGACTTACCCACCCACTGCATTAAGATTCAGGTTACCTGTTTCCCTGAAAATAAGACACGGTCTTATACTGTATTATTTTTTGCTCCAAAAATGCATTAGGGCTTATTTTCAGGGGATGTCTTATTTTTTTCATGTACAGCAATCTGCATTTATTCAAACACAATCATGTCATCTTCTTCTGGTTGCTGCACAATAGTGGAGGGTGGAGTTTCACTTAACTGGGGCTTATTTTATATTACGAGCATCTTGAAAAATCATGCTAGAGCTTATTTTCAGGTTAGGTCTTATTTTAGGAGAAACAGGGTAGATTCCAAACTCAAATTATTCTAGGCTGATTCTGGAACATTTACCTGTCTAGAGCTTTGGAAAGTTTTTTTTTTTCAAACCACCATCCTCAGAAATTCTGGGAGTTCTAATATTAAAAAGTGATACTATCATATTCTGCTTCAAAGTACATGACTTTGAAACACCTTAAACACCGAGGGATGGTTGAAGGAACAGTTCAGCTGAAGAGGGCTGCACTTTGTCCAGCTAAGCTTAAATCTATTGACTTCAATAGGTTTAAGTGCGAGCCCTACCTATATAGATGATGTCCTCTTCCTTTGTGGGGCAGGTACAGTTCCTGATCCAAAGGTATTTCTTTCTTTGACACATTGCTCCACCTCAAGAAATAATGTGAAATGATATACAAGAAACTGAATACAATTCAAATATAAAATCAAAATAAGAAACCACCTGCTGGATTAACCCTACAATTAACCCTACGACTGGGAGCAAGCAGGCGTATAAGACTAATACGCACAACAGAAACAGACTGAGGACGAGGATCGCCCCAACATTTTATGAGGGCTCTTCTCTCTGGCCAGAGTGAAAGAATAAAATGCCACCATAAAATATAGCAGAAGCAAATAGTATCACCACTATCACTATATACTGATTGACTTCAAGAGGCCTTAGGCTGTTTTTATTTGCCATTGTATTACTGTTATTATTTTTTAAACTTATTTTTATTGTAACTTACCTAGAAGTTAACACAAAGATAAACAAGGAGTAAGCAGACTTTGTACATAATTGAAAAATATCCACTTTTGTAACTTCCCCAAATAAATTATGTAATAGGCAAATTTCAGTAATACTGTAATTTTTATGATACATATATTTCCTATGAGCACCATCCTGAAATTTTGACAGGATGAAGCCCAACCTTCTTTAACTAAATGTGGAGATTTGAAAGAAATTTCAGCACAAGCTGCTATAGCTGCTTATTTTTGCTATAACTTGCTCCCTTGTTCTTATTTTGCTCCTTCTTGTTATGGCTGTTCAGAATTCTATTTCATTTATAAGGTATCATTGTCAACATGACACATGCCCCCATCCCATCATTTGCCACAAAGCAAAAAGGAAAGGGTGTGTGTTCTCCTGAGCATTTTCCCTTACTCCAATCCTGTCACCTATGTACAGTTCTCCAACACTTCCCTTTTGGCCTTCATTTAATGGTCTTTCTGTGGCTTTTGTTTTTTTACAGAGGAAGAGCGACCCCGACCAAGGTAAGTTACGGGAGGCATTAAATCCATGGAGGTGTGATGTACATGAAAATACTGGACTCAGAAATTCTCACTGGCCAAAATCCTGTTGCTTAGAGTAGTAAACCCCATCAAGAGTAAGACCATTGCATCAATGAGGATTTGGTGAGTCAACTCTTCTCATCAAGAGTAAGACCATTGCATCAATGGGGATTTGGTGAGTCAACACTTCAGTAAGCTCCCTTGATTGAAATGGGCCTGCTCTAACTAGGATGTACTTAGTAAGCTCCCTTGATTCAAATGGGCCTGCTCTAACTAGGATGTACTTCTGCATAGTAAGTCATGGTTAGAATAGGCCCATTTGAAACAATGGAACATGCAGAGGAGTTGACACACCAAATTCCCACTGATTCAGTGGGCCTACTCTAACAGTATTGACTATACTGAGCAATAGGATTTTGGCTACTGAAAAAAGGGAGAAGTTTTGCATGCAAAATTAAGAGTTGCCAAAAGATTTTCTTTGCAAGCTCCCATTTCTTTATAAGTTGAAAAATTCATTGATTTACCTCACAGCCATGAGGTAACTCTTCAATCATTTTTTCCCACTAGGCAGTTATTAAAGGCAGAGGAACCATGAAAACAAAAAGGTTATGCTAACTGAATACAAAATTTGCACTCAGATGAGACACCTTGAGGAAGAGTTAATTTCCTCCACATTCTGAGCAATTCATTTCAGTTCTAATTGCTTATTAAATAAGTCTGATTTAAGGACAGAGGGAATAGAGCTATCTAAACATGTGCAGGTGTTTTTCCTTTCACCAAGCGTTTTCTGAAACTAACTATTCGGTATGTGTTTCTTTTCTCGTCTGCGTTTGTCCACACAAAGGCCGGTAGTTCCACAGTTGGCGCCTCCAAAAATCCCCGAGGGAGAGAGAGTGGATTTTGATGTGAGTATTAGACTTTGTTAAATCTTTGTGTCTGTTTTACAAAACTCCCAAATTTCTCCAAAGAACTACATTTTTCTCATGGAAATGAGCCAAGCTAGCCCTGCTGGTAGAGATGGATGGTACGCTCTGTGGAGTGTCTTTGGAAGTACTCCCAGCCTCACACATCCCCCCCTCCATGTGTGTCATCTGGATTTCTTCTTCGACTTCCCATCCTCCCTGTTGGGAACAATAGTCTGCATTAACGTGGGCTCCCCCTTTTCTATGTCTAATCACAAAAGAATACAGTTGGAGAGAAAAATACCATCTGGTCAATTGGGGATTGGACTCCTTCATCTGATTTAACCACTGTAATGGAGCAACTATGTTGTCTATATAACTTGCTGCATTCTCTTTGACTGGTGCCAGTACTGTGTCTATCAATCTTTGGAAGGTTGCAACTGCTCCAGGCAGCCCAAAGGGCATGTGGGTAAATTGAAATAGCCCCCTTAGTGAGGTGAAAGTGCTATTTTCTTTGTCTGCCTCCAGAATCGGCCAATATCCTTTTGTTAAATCAATAAGGTGAGAAAATTGGCTTTGCCCATCTTTTCTAGTAAATCCACTTTAGGCATGGGATATGCATCAAATTTCGATACTGAATTCAACCACCTGAAATCTATACAAAAATGTGTACTCCCATCTGGTTTAGGTACTAGTACTGGGTGACTATGCCAGGGACTTGAAGATGGTTCTATGAGCCCCAATTTTAACATCTCTTCCACTTCTTCTTCGATGACGCTTCTCAAATGATGAGGCCATGTTGTACTAGTAGATCTCACCACCACTCCTGGGGGAGTACATATTTGATGTTCCACCCTCTGCGTACGTCCAGGCACAGAAGAGAATACATCTTTGAACTCCAACTCTAGGGCTCTTTGGTTGGAATCTAACTGTATCCCTGTGTTCAATAATGAGGCCTCACCTTATTTAATCTCCTTTGCTGCATCAGAAGGGAGATGTAATAATGCACCATTATTCTCATAATCAAAATAAAACATGTACACACTCACTAAGGGAAATATTAAATTTTTCCAACCCCCAAATATGGGAGACAGTGGAGGCAGCTGTCCCTTCTTCCACTTTGATGGCTTTAATCCACTGCAGGCACTAGTCCACCAGGTTAACGGCAGGCAGACAGGGAACTCTGGCAACAATGAAAGAAATGAGGGGAAATCCCTCCAAATATCAATAAATTAAAAGGCCAAAGAAGCAGGATAATATGATACATGAAATAAATCCATAATTTCCATTACCCTTTCTTTCAGAATCCTGAATCTTTCATATTGCAGAGGCTTCCTCTTGGAAAAGATTTCAAAAATAAAATGAAGGGCCTCTTTCATGTATTTCGTATTTCATTTAACCTGAGAGTCCCATCCCTACTGCCACACATGAACTCAAAGGAGTCTCCTTTACAGTGAAGAGTCATGTACATGTTTTGACAGATGATTCTCCTCCCCCACCCACCTCCTTTATTCAACACTACATAGCAATGTTCTCAGAGTCTGCCCTAGAATCTTTTAGGACAATGCATCTGGGAGCTAACATCTCTCGTTCTTTCTCTGATTGACGGGCAGGACATCCACCGCAAGCGTATGGAGAAAGATCTGCTGGAATTGCAGACCCTCATTGATGTACACTTTGAGCAAAGGAAAAAAGAAGAGGAAGAACTTGTTGGTCTCATGCAACGAATTGTGAGTTCCAGGCAGCAAGGGATTGTGGGAGCACGGCTGGGGTCTATCCATTGTGAGAGATGTTGCCAGTTGAATATCTTGAATGAGCTGGTCCTGCTCATTTTGCAGTATTTGCATCTGAATGCAACTCACACTGGTTTTACATTTTGCATAAATATCTACAGGATTACAGAAATGGGGGTATTGCATTCCACTGAAAAGTGTTCATGGATACTTCAGGAAGCAGATAACTATTGGAAGGAGGAATGGGGTGTGGTGAGAAATCACTGGGACCCAGTGATTTCTCATTGACATAATGATCAAGGGTTGCTGTGCAGGAAGCAGATAGCTATTGGAAGGAGGAATAGGGTGTGGTGAGAAATCACTGGGACCCAAAATGCAAGGCTCATTGACATAATGATCAAGGGTTGCTGTTTGAATTGAAAGCCCTTCATAAATATTTTTCAGAAAACAGAACATTCATATCTGGTTGCAGAAGTGGCAGCAGTATTTCTTGATGCCTGTTTTGATCAATAATTACACCAAGCAGTAGAATTTATCTCATCAATTCCTCTTCCCATGAGCTAAAACCTACAGCAGGAGTTAGGTAACCCAATGACATTCTGGACTATGACTTTCGTAATTATTGAGTTGTTCAGAGCTTGAAAATACATTAGAATTTTTTGACTACAACTCTCCCTCCAAAGCAACAACAACCCAGCAAGCATTACCAGCTGGTTCATGAAATTGGTTGATTCATTTGAAACCAGACAGTGTGGGGACTACAGTTCACTTTCACCCTTACATTAGCCACTTCTAATGCATCCACTTAAAGGCCGATCAGTGGTATCCACTTAAAGGCCAATCAGAATGTATCCACTTAAAGGCCAATTAGTATGAGACAATGAAGGCGGATGATGAAACCTCCCATCTCATTATATGTTTCCAAACAGCAAGCATGGAAGTCCACATTTACATATGGATCATCGTGTTGGTGGAGGATATTTTCTGTGTTATTTTCACAATGAAAATTCTTCTTTCAAGCGCTATTTGCCCAAATAAGAACAACTTATAAGTAGGCAAAGTTGCTTTTTTTTTTTGAGGGGGGCAAATAGACAATTGGAGATTTGATCATGTTTCTTCATCATTTCAGTTTGTTTGGCCCAGATAGAAGAATGTGATATTTGGAAAAGTTAAATATTAACCATGGTATTGCAAAAACAGCTAAGGGATGGTTGAAAGAGGAAAGGGGCTTTGAGAGGGCTGTGTTCTTCACAGTTGACACATGGAGGGTATAGATAGTCATCTGAGAATGATAGAGAAGGAATTTCAAAAGAAAGGTAAAACATGTTCAACTGGTCCTGCATGTGGGGTGTATCTTTCAAAATAGAAATATTATGACATTTTCCAGGTGTTTAGAACATGAAGAACAAAATGTTTGGATGAGAAAATAATCCACACTGGTTGATAAAAAGTAGTACAACGTACACAGAAAGGTGGAAGCCTACCAGATATAAGCTGCGTTAGGAGGTCATGCTCACTTGATATCACAAGAACAGGTAGCCCAATGCCTTTGGCTTTAATGCTCCATTTCCCCTCTCCTCCTCTGATTGGTTTTCTCCACATCCCAGACACAAGAGAGATCATAGTTGTTGTTCTGCCACCTGCTCTGGTCAAAATTCCTCAGATACCTGAAGAGAATGTACAAGATTCAGAAGCCATAAGTCTACCATCTTGACCAAGAGGTTGGAACAACCAGTGTCCAAATACTTTTAAGTCTGAATATCATGGCCTATCTGACTTGCCTTTGATTGACAAAGAGATACCACCAAATCTGAGCATGTTAGAAAAGAGAATACTTCTGGATTTACAGACAGGCTACCTTAACACCTCATGGCCTGAACCTAGATGGAAAAAAATAGGGAATCTTTGATAGCATTTTTACCCAACATTCACTCCACAAAATTGCTTATGCAATTTAAAAAAAAACAATCACAGCCAAACAAGATTCCTCAAACTAAGAAAAATCGTGTTCTTTACTCCCACCTTATGGTAGCTTTGTGGCATTGGCACAAACTGAATCCAAAACAGGGTGAGAGAAGTTTTGCTTTCATGTTATATGAGAATCAGAAAATGGTGTCAGGTGGAGTAGAAGGTCTGATGTTTACGAAAAAGTCTTGTGGCATTAGAAAAAAATCCTTTCCCTCCCTTTCTTTTTCTGAACTAAGGCTCCAGGAATGCTTTGCTAACATGGACATCGGCTGAGGTGACTTGACAAAAAAGAGGGCAAAGGTCCCTATAACTTTAATAGATGCTCAGAAGAGGAAGCTTTAGCATGTGCAGTTGTTAATACAAGCCACACTTGGCATTTAGCTTAATGAAGAGAAGACTGAGGGGAGACATGATAGCAGTCTTCCAATATCTGAAGGGTTGTCACAGGGAAGAGGGCATCAGTTTATTCTCCATTGCACCTGAGGGTAGGACAAGAACCAATGGGTGGAAACTTGTCAGAGGGAGGAATTTCCTGACAGTGGGAACCATTAAGCAGTGGAACAACTTGCTTCCCGATGGTGTGGTTGCCCCATTGCTGGAGGTTTTCAAGAAAAGATTGGACAGCCATCTGTCCAAGATGGTATGAGGTCCAGGATGGTAAGAGGTCTCCTGCCTGGGCAGGGAGTTGAACTAGAAGACCTCCAAGGTCCCTTCCAGCCCTACGACGATTCTATGATATGATTCCATGATTCTACTAACTTTCCTCTTCCACACAAGCATTAAAGATACAGGAACCTTGTTCCCCTTCCTCTCCTCCCTCTAGCACTACCACAGTTGAGGAATTCTGGGAGTTGTAGTAAAAAAAACCCCACAACTTTTCCAACCTATGAACCACTGTAGAGAAGTCCTTAAATACTCAGCTGTTCCACACGGCAAGAGGAAGTGGTGACAGGTTTGTTCAGAGGAAGGGGTAAAATGTATATTGCTGTTTATTTGGCTTTAACCATCCTTGGTGGTAATTTCATTGGGTGTGGTGAGGGTCTGAGATGTATTTTGTGTCTTTGGCAGGAAAGCCGGCGGGCAGAACGTGCCGAACAACAGCGGGTCCGCACTGAGAAGGAACGGGAGCGGCAGGCCAAACTTGCTGTGAGTGTTGTCATATTCATGAGGAGATTTAAATGCTGGCTCATGAAGGAAGCTTCAGACATTTCATCAGGAAAAGAAGAGAAAGAGGATCAGTAGAAATCTGAGAACTTTCACTGATCTTTAGTTGGCAGGACAGAATTCCTGTGTCTATTGTTAGGAAAAATGAGGTGGTTGCCTTGAGCAGCAGTTGCTAACTAGTACGGAGCAGCATAAAGTGATGAAGGAGAGGGAGTGGGCACCATATGTCCTACCTGTCCTCTTGCCATTGCTGAAGCTTGTCTTCACCTCAGACAGCTGAATGTCTTGGGCCAGTCTGGTTGGACTCACAACCCATGGGTTACATTTCATAGAAACACAGAAAATTTGAGTTGGAAGTGACCTATAAAGCCATCGAGTCCAACCTCCTGCTCAGTGCAAGAATACATATTAGAGATGGGGATATTCGTATACGAATATGAATATCCCTGTATAGCTGGACTTAACAAGGACCGACCCCTACTGCTGGCCTGTCCACTCACGCATCCGTTGGTGGTGGCAGCCTTACTCATCCTTCCAAACATTCCCAGAGCTCCACTCTTCCCCTGCTTGGCTAGCGACTCAGCAGCCATGCAGGGAGACTTGTCCTCCCTCCCACTGCCTGTAGTGGCCAAGCGAGCAGGAAGAGAGTGGAGCTCCTGGAGCGATTGGAAGGATGAGTGAGGCTGCCACCACCGGTGGACACGTAAGTGGACGGGCCGGCCTGTCATGAGTTCAGCCAAAGAAGATCTGGAATCTGAGGGGTTAATTACAGCTGAGGAAAATGCTGGGCAATTGGTGTCACAGACAGCTGAATCACCGCCAGATTCTCCTCCCCCACTAGCCAGAGCGAGAGATAAGCTTCAGCAGAGACTCACAACACAAAGGTCTGAGGCTCACATGAATGTTTCCCACAGGAACATCAGGTCGACCAGCCCTGAGTTTTAACAGGATCGAATGTTTCTAGGAATTAGATGATTGTTGCTGCTATCTAATTTGTACCCAGAGGCTTGGAAGCTTATGGAAGCAACAAGTCAATTCTCTGGCTCAGTTCCATGCTCCTACTTGTCTTGACCCTTGCTCTCTTGACCCTTGGCTTTTGGACTCTGACTTCTGATTACGGTTTGTGGTTTGGCTTTGACAATTTGGCATCTGTTTTGTATCTTCTGGACTTCTGACCTTGTTGGCTCACTTCGGACTTTCACTTGCTGAATCCCCTAGGAATGTGACACGGCCACAGTGGCAGGCCCCTCGTTAAGTCCAGCTGCATGGGGATATAGGAATGTGACACGACCACAGGGGCAGGCCCCTCGTTAAGTCCAGCTGCATGGGGATATTCATATCTGTATACAAATACCCCCATCTCTAATACATATCAAAGCAGATCTGACAGACGGTTGCCCAATTTTCTCTTGAATGCCTCCAGCACTGGCACACTCACCAACTCCTGAGGTATTTGGTTCCATTGTCATACTGCTCTAACAGTTAAGAAGCTTTTCCTGATATTCAACCGAAATCTGGCTTTCTGTAACTTGAGCCCATTATTGCGTGTCCTGCACTCAGGGATAATTGAGAACAGATCCTGCCTCTCCTCTGTATGACAGCCGTTCAAGTATTTGAAAAGTGTTATCATCTCTGTCCCCTCAGTCTTCTTTTTTCAATGCTAAAAATACCCAGTTCTTTGGACCTCCACTCATTTTTGCAACAGGTTCCACGGCTGCTATCCTGCCAAATTTACTACATCATTGCCAAAGGTTATGATTTCCTTTGAAAACAAGTTGCATAGTGGGCACAGCTGTGCAGGCCTTATTTCAAAGCAGAATCATGCTACCAGATGCCTCCCAGAAGTGAATTCTGTTTTACTACAAGGTGTACGCTCCCCATATACTTTCCTTTCAGAGGGGATTGTGGCTTTTTTGTGCCTCTGCACCGCCCAACTTTATTGTCATACCAACAGCAGGTTTTAGCCTCCCTCCATCTCTTGGAAATTATCCACCCTTTCTACAGTGAGAAAAGAAAAGGAAGATGGCCATGTGTGTTTCAAAGAAAGTCATCACTGCAGGCTATATCTGTAAATCCCCTCCTGTGCCAGTAAATGGATCTCTCTGGGATCTCTTCTTATAGGTCAACAGCTTTCTCTCCTGGAACATGTGCAAGAACTGCCTTGCTGGATCTAAATGAATGAATGAATGAATGAATGTCAGAGGAACACAAGGATATTCTTGCATGCACGTTTTGTGAAGTATAGACATGGTCTAGAGGGGCATGGTAAAAATCCAATAAATAAATAAATAAATAAATCTTCATCTAAACCTCATATTTGCCACCAACCGGGGCTAGTCAAACATACTTGGAAAGATCATGAGAAGGACACAATGGATAATTGTTGTCTTTCCCATCCGGTAGTCAGAGGTCTGCTGCCTCTAAACATCATCAGCATTCTGGCAATCTCTCAACACCAACAGTTTTAGCCATTCCATCTGGCTAACAGCTGTTGATAATCCCGACCTCCACAAAATAACAGTACACTGTCTCCCAAAATAGAGAAGCAGGTTTCTCTCTGTCTTTTCATTGGTAAGGAGCATCAGTGGGCTGTGATGTGGCTTCTACTGGGCCCTATCACTTGGTCATAGAATTATAGAGTTGAATGGCATTTAAGATACTCTCTAGCTCTACCTGTTTTCAGTGGTCTTGGAGGAGTGACCTGTATCCTGTTACACCAGTACAAGGCCATCAAAGTGAATCCCAGTGATGGATTGCAGCTACGGTAGTTAAGAAGTCTGTATTTGCCTTTGCTCTTGCAACACAAGGCGTGTGACTTGGCACGCCACAGCAAATGCAGATATCATTTCCCCCTCTAGTGTCAAATTGCCACTGAAATGTATGCCAATGGATTTATCGTGGCATAATACGTCCGTTGGATTCTGGCCACAAAAACCATCCTTAGCAAATGTTTCTTTGGTTTAGGGGAAATCTATGCCTGGGTGCTTTTAAACACCCTGTCACAGATCATGGTGTTAATGGGACTTAACCACCTGGAGAAAGAGGCGGATCTAGCATAAAATTATTGAAATTTAAGATTCAGAGCCCCTAATCCTGTGGGTGGGGCAGAAGCAACTTTAGTGCTGTCCTCTGAACATGCTGGCCACAGAGACTGGCAAAACGTTAGGAAGAACAACCTTCAGAACACGGCCAAAGAGCCCGAAAAACCCACAACAACCAATTTTAGTACACCTTTTTTAAAAAAAAAATTGTGGTGATCTGTTATGGATCAACCCCATTGAAGAAAACATTAGTTCACCTTTTAAAAAAAATTGTGGTGATCTGTTATGGATCAACCACATTGAAGAAAACAACAGTGGTTATCCAGGCCTTGTTGCTGGTTGTGAAGGGCCCCCCATAACAGTTCAAGCTTCTGGGCCCCAAAAATGTAAGTCTGCCATAGCCTGGAACAGCTACAGTACAGCAGGAAGACTTGTAAGGACAAAAGAACAGTCTGGAAATCTCCGTTGTTTATATATGTTTTATCAAATCTCTAACTTGCACGGCTGCAGCAGGAAGACTTGTAAGGACAAAAGAACGCTGTTCCATCAACAACCAAGTTGTCTTTGCTGCTCAACAGATGGCTTATGAACCTCCTCGTCCTTCCCTGTTGGTGGTTTATGTGTCCATAAATTATATTTTATAACTCACTATGGTAAATTGTCACCAACTAACACAGACCAATTATGCATGAGGCATGGGCTCATGCTCAACAGCCATGTCCTTAGCGATGTGACTGGCACTTCATTAGTTAATGGCAATTCACATTGGCAAATGATACCGCGTATCACCACAGGAATCTGGTTCATGTATATTTGCATACTTTTAGTCAGCACAGGAATGAATGTTTATATAGAGTTTATATGTCTGTCTACATGTTTTAACCATATTTTTCTTCCATTTTTATTATTAATTTACAGTTTTAATTATCTTTTATTGGAATATGTTGATATAACAAAATAAGTATGTTGGCACTTATTGAAACTTGCATTTTGCTTAAAATGCAGATTCTGATGAACCTTTTCTCTCAAAATATACATTTTACTATATATTTCAATACTTACTTCAATAATTTTCATTCAGTATGCTTATTTAGATGCTATTTTTCCCCTCAAAATGTAGATTTCATAGTTTGATACATTTGAGCTGCCAGAGTTTATATCGTACTTCGAAAAATGGTTGGGTTGTTTTGTTCCAAACCACATTAGTCTGAAGGGTTTGGATTAAAGGGTTTCAGAGCAATATTTGAATAGATATACTGTATTCCTCAGGTCTCTAGAATGTGAATTTTCCAGGCATAAATGAGCATCCCAGCTATTCTTCTCCTGTGGGTGGTGGCAGAGATAATGTTTTCTTTTTCCTAGCTCTGGATCATAGATTCTACCTTATTGTTCTATACAGGAAGAAAAAATGAGGAAGGAAGAAGAAGAGGCTAAGAAAAGAGCTGAAGATGATGCCAAGAAGAAAAAAGTCCTTTCCAACATGGGAGCTCATTTTGGTGGATATTTGGTAAAGGTAAGCTACTTGGAAAAAAATAAGAGGAACATAATTCTTTGAGAAGTCACAATCTTTCCCTCCATTCCCATCAACCTGATGATGTTCCACACAAGTACCCATTATTTTGAGATAGGGAATCCTTCTCGTAGAAAATGTGTCACATTGAGTGGTGTAGTAGTAAATTTGGAAATGCAGGTGGTCAACATATCATCATGTGCTGTCAACTCAATTCTGACTTATAGTGACCCTTTTCAGGGTTTTTACCATTCCCTTCTTCTGGGGGCACCCGAGGACTGGACAGCTTGCCTAAGGCTACACAGGCTGGCTCTACTTGTAGGCACAGGAGGGAATCAAACTCCTGACCTCTGGGTCCACAGCCAGATACCTAAACCACTCAGCCAATTCATCGTAACATTCTGTGTATTCAACTCCCTTCCTCTCAAAGAAAGGAGTAGGCTTCTGGATCCATTCTTAAAATGGAGGCTTCTGGAGTCATCCCTGGGGATCAGGACCTTAGCAAAGATGATGTCTCTTAATTACCTATTCAAGATAAAACCACCCTGAAATATTTTGCATTACAACAGGATAGCTTGCCACAATATTTGTCTCTTTCTTCTAAACTTCTAAAGATGAAAAAGAATCTTGAAGGACATGGCAGATGATGTCGCAGTCCCTGCTACTTGAAAAGTCCTGGGATTCTGACCCTATAAACACTGACTCCACTACACCATTGATCATGGTGGGCAAATGGAAGCTGATCATGTGATACACACTTTGTCAAACTGAATGCTGGCAGAATAAGGGTTCTGATGATATTCTTCTGCTACCAAACAAAAATATATATATTATAGCTTCTTCCACCGGCATGGAACTGACCCACTGGTTGTGGCTGCAAAGTTCCACCTGGTGGGACATTCAGGTTTGCTTCATACCCCTGCTGTCATCTGTATATCCTCCAACATGCTCCTTCAACTTCTGAAAATCTCAAAAAAAGGTGCAAAAAGGTAATTTCTATGTTCTCTGTGTGTATTTTCATTGGGAAGCTATCGCTTAACAGCAAAGGACATGCTTTGCATGAAGAAGTTTCCCAGGTCCGATGCATGGCATCAGAAAGTACTAAGAGCCCCGTTAGATCAGATCAGAAGTTCATCTAATGTCATCTCCTGTCTTTATAGCAGTCAACTAGGTGCAAAGCCCATGCACAACTATGTAGACAATAGTATTGTTTTGCTCAAGTAGCTGTTATTCAGGGACAGAGCCACTCCAGTATTAGAAATTCCCATTAATCTTTGTGGGCAACAACTTCATAGACCCAGCTTGCTCATTTAATTTCTTAGTTTGTTTTTCTTTAGACAGCACACTAGGAAGTGGTGGCATTACATATTTGTTGACTCTTCTGGAGGCCCATCCACTTCTTTTGTAGAGCTTAGAAGAGTTAAGTTTTTTTAGAACCGTCATTCCCAGAAACCCCCCCAGACCGTAACGGTGGTCCCAACAGTGCTCTTTAAGTGGTAACAAGTGTTGCTTCACTAACTTCAGGATGTGAACCTTCCCAGCCCTAAGCCCCTCTTCCTCCTTCTTGGCAATGAGGTCCTGGGTTTCTGTCCCAAAGTCTTTGACCACACATCATTACTGCTGGGAAAGAGCTATTCTACCTTGAAAGATCTCTACCTAATTGGAGCAGACAACACTGGGTTAAGCGGGCCAGTGACTTACTCACCAGGCAGAACATCCTTATTGTTCTTCTAGTATATTTTAAGAACCATTGCTTAGCAGCACCCTATCTGTTTTGTATGCTATAAAGTCCCATGCTCAACACCCAACTTCTCCATGTAAAACAGGATCAGGTAGCTATGACAGAGGAAAGAATTTTCTGAAAGCCTCAGAAAGATGCTGCTAATCTATGCAGAAAATAATGGGCTAGACCAGTGGCTCCTAATCCAGGTGCTTGCTGGACTGCAGCTCCCAAAAACTCCTGCCAGTACAGCTGGGTGTGTGTGTGAAGGCTTTTTTTGAATTGCAGGCCAAGAATAACTGAGTTACCACTTGACTAGATCCATATTGCAGAAATGGAGACCCCCTCCACCTATCTTTTAGACTTCAACTCCCAGCAGGCCCAGCCAACATGGCCAATGACCAGCAATGCTTGAAATTGTGGTCAAAAATTCAGAAGGGTACCAGGTTGGGAAAGGCAGTTTAAACAAACCAGCATAAGGCATCTAGATGCAATTCCATTCATAGTTTCTACTTTGTATTCGCGAAGGCTTTCACGGCCGGGATCTAATGGTTGTGGTGGGTTTTTCGGGTTCTTTAGCCGTGTTCTGAAGGT